AGAATTTTTATGTCGAGTGAACATGAGAACTTCAAATAGGAATGCTTTCCTTTGATGGATTCTCCCCTTGGCGTTTTGGGCTGGGCTTCAACTTTGCTTCCTGAAAAGTTCTCCAGACTCATCCGATCCGAATTCTCCGAGTCGCATCCCGCGTCCGAGTATCTGAGACCCCGCACGCGTTGGGGTTGCAGGTTTAACCGGCCGGTGCCACCCCCAGGTTTCAGGTGGTTGGCATGATTTCTGCACCCCCCTTTCCCCTGATTGGTTGGATTTTCAATGATTTTCATCTCTACACGAGACATCTCAGGTGTTTCTTTTTGGAAAGTCAGGTCTCAGGTCTCAGGTCGTCTCTCAGGTCTCACCTGTGTGTCCCTTCTTCTTCAGGTGAGCGGCTCACGTCAACACCTCCCCGTCACCCCCTCCCTGTTTCGTGGGACGTCAGGCTGCCAGTTTTGTTTCGTTGCTCAGGTCATTGGTGGCAACATGGCCTCCGAGTTCATCACGCAAAAGGCCGTCTTTGCAGCCACTCGGTGCTGTTGTTAGATGTTCTTTGGATTCCAGAAAAATCCATTCCATCTCAGAACTCTGGGTATGTCTTTTTGGCTTCCCCAAATTGCAACACTTTGGAGGCAAGACACTATTCACGACTATTTACTTGGGATCCACCTTGGGACCTTGGAAGTTGCCCTCCCAATCGACGGTCATTGCAGACTGCAGGTGACTGCTCCCAATCGACGGTCATCGTTCCGCCGGCGAGTCGAACCGAGTCGAAACCAGGCCTTTCGCATCCTCCATGGAGTCGTTTTCAGTGATTCTAATGAGTGCAACTTTGCATGAAGCAAAGGGGGAGCGCGAGGTACATGATAAGAACCACCTCTTATCTCAGAGATCACCATGTCACACTAAACGCGTGCCACGTTATGTGTGTTTACTCGCCACAGCCGTACGCACAGTACTCCTTGCACCCGACGCCCTGGAAGATTAAGACGGAACCCAAAAACCCACATAGGTTGTAGAGGAACATCGTCTTCTAAATAGGTGCATTTTTTGAGGTTCCAAGTTGATCTTCCTGGGTGTATCCTAAATTGATACATGCGATCGGGTTCCGGATTCGATGGATGTGATCGAACGACTGCCTAGGCCTTGTTCCCCATCAACTTGCTGTTGGTGCTCACCACTGGCGGCCAGCTGTTCACCGGAAACAGTGCCACCATGGCCATCGGCGTCTATGAGAAGAAGTGCACCACCAAGGACCGGCTTGTTGATCTTGTTGCTTGTTGCGATGTGACATGCTCCCTGCAGTGAATCATGCAGTTGGAAAAGTATACTGGCCATGGTCTATCGGATAGCTTGCACATACTCATTCGATCACATACTTCGCGCGCGTGGCGCACGTGGCACGCGTTAGTTTCTGCTGTTCCAGTGTCCAGGATTTGCTCCGCAATTGGGCGATCTCCTATATTGCCAACATTTTCGGCTGCCTGCTGATCGATGCTGCTTGGTATATGAGGATGTGAGCATGGAAGCAGAACGTTGAGTCCGTCTCTAATGAGAAGTATATAGACATGTTGCAGTCAGTCAATCCTCTTGCAACGTAACAATAGAACCAACATTCGATTATTTCCCTTCAGATCCCTTAACGTGATTTCTGAAGTGCATTGTACTCTCTGAACTGATTTCTGGGCGAGGCCTGTGGAGTGACTGACAATGTCAAGGTCTGTCCATGCGAAGAAGCACGTGCACCCTCGCATCCTCGCATCGGTTTTGCTTGGGATATGAGGCCGTGGCGCGCTACACTGGCATGTTCACCGGTGGTGCTCAGGAGCGGTATTTCTTTGACCAGGGCGACTAGTAGGGCGGGGGGGCCGGGCTGGGAGGCTGTGAGTAGGGAGCTATAGGCCATGGGTCATGGCCGATGCCAGTCTGTATGGGCCAAAGACCACATACCACTGGATTTGCTGGTACAGCCAAACTGGACCTGTAGGCCCCTCAACGGACATGGGTTGATGTGTCCGAGACTGCGTGCTTTCGTGGCTTCGGAGAGGAGATGGCCGTGCACACCGTGATGAAGAAGTGCTCCGCCACCTTCGGTCAGACCGTGGCGCCTTGGACGGATGGCTGTCAGAGACCGCGTGGCGCGGGTGGCGCGCGGCGCAAAGCGATTGGCCATTGGGATTTGCCATGGGGACGGTGGACGCGGAGGTCAGTGCTATGGACTGGGGTTTTATAGCAGTAGTAGTAGTAGTCGTAGTGGTCGTTTTCGTGGTGGTGGTGGTGGTGGTGGTCGTGGTAGTAGTGGCACTTGAAGGATCCAAAGGCTCCGATGGATTTTGGCCAATCCCTTCAAGAAGGTCGATCATGTGATCATGTGATGATTCGGGGAGTGAGTCTTGACATGTCCTGACATCGGGCCCCCATATTTGATACCCTATGCTTGGGGGTATAGTCGAGGAATCACTGGGTGATACATATTCCTTGTTCCTGGATGCGGCTTCCCCCAGTTCTTCCACCAACTACCTTTACTTTTTTTGCTCATGTCTTGTTCACACAGCTGTTCGACGCACGGTCTGAGGTCAAGGGCATCATGTGCAACTGGCTGGTCTGCATGGCTGTCTGGCTCTGCACCATGGCCAAGGACCTGTCCATCTGAGACATTGTGGCTTGACACTTTCGCATCACAAAGCTTTTTGGGATACCGGTCTGACGGATAGTAGATCTACTTCAATTTGATTCAGATTACTTCAAGGTCTGTTTTGCTGTATCGGTGGTACTTGTAGGTTTGTGAATTTCTGTAAGCGAACCTCATACACAGCTGCGGTCACCACGAAGCCTCAAGAGCGGATTTCTCATTCACAGCACCAGCACCAAGATTCTCCTGAGAGAGATTGCATGTCAGGACCTCTCTGGAAAGATGGTGGGCGTCTGGTTCCCCATCTCCATGTTCATCGCCATTGGCTTCGAACACTCTGTCGCCAACATGTTCATCCTGCCTGCGGGCATCTTCTCAGGCGAATTCCGGTTTTCGCACGCGACTTGTGAGTCTTTCAGCACGCACTGTGTGCCTCCTGTCTTTGATTTCTGCTAAGCATGAAGCATTTTTGGAACCCAAAAGGGGTGAAAAACCATGCCCGAGTTCCCTGGCCCTATCAGGGCACACTGGGTTTCAGAGCTTTCATCACCAACTCTGCAAGATTCGCCGTCCTCTCGTCACCCCCTCGGCACATCCGTCCTTCGGCACTTGTTCCGTCCCTCGGCACTGGGGCAGGGGCTCCACTCAGCTGGGGTGACATCCTCGTGAAGAACCTCATCCCGGTGACCATCGGCAACGCCATCGCCGGTGCGTTCGCCGGGACCTCATGATCGGTGGACCCGACCCGGGTTCCAGGTGGCGTCACGACCCATGACGACGCATCCCCACGAAGGGGGAACTGTTGGGAACTGAGGTTGGGCCAAGCTGGGTGCTGCAGTGGCCCCATAGTCGAGCTGAGAGATGGTGCATGGCCTCACTAAAAGAGCAGGGATGTACTGGGCCAGTACTGGGGGCCCTCATTTTCACTAGTACTTTGAGACTCCCAAAGCCAAGTGCGGACACAGAACCCTTCGGCACTAAAGGATGAAGGCCCTTGTTCAAAGGTTCTCGAACACGGCTGCAGGTCACTCATTCTAAAGTTTGGATAATTATGTTTTATACAATAGTGTTTTCGTTCAATTCCACTTGGGCTTCCCCCAAATGGAAGCACAGGATTGTACTGCATTTTTTTTTCATTGTGGAGCCCATAACCAAAATCACCATAGCTTGAACTAGCAAACGCAAACAGAAATCCATTCAGTTCAGTGTGCGCTGGTAGCCCCATTCCAAGGTAGGTTCACCTCTTATGGCTGCCACTATGAGAGAACCAACTAAACTCGTTCTTTCCTAACTTAGGTCGTGGGTGCTGGCATGTCCTTTATGTTCGGCAAACTTGGAAAGAAGGAGGACGAGTGAGGGGGGCACTTAACAAGGAGGATCACTGAGAGGCACAAGTATACTCAGATCAGGAGGATCCATCTCAACGACTCGTCAAGAAAGGTGCGGTATTTTTCGGATTTCAAATCGACCGCCGGGTGGATTTTCACCGCAGGATTGCAGACCCGTTTGAGACTGAGACAAAAAGAAGCGAAGCAGACTGGCTGAGTGTGGATTGCTGTGATTCGGTTTCGGATCACTTGCGAAGGACCCCTTTTGAACCTGGAGAAATATGGATCGATCGAACCCTCAAATCGATCGGCCGTTGCGGGTGGACTCGGGTGGTTTTGGGATGTGGACCTGGGGAAGTAGCTGGAGTCCAGCAGCTGGAGGATAGGAGCACACCAGGTCCACCGAACCAGGCTGGATCCCGGTGGCAAAACGCTGCAAAACTCACCGGCATTTGGGAAGGACGAAAGCACAGACTCAGCACCCGCCAGAGAAAGTTGCTTTCTGGAAGATCCAACAGGTTTTCCTTTCGAGCTGGGAGCCTCTCATTGGGGTCTTGCTTGTGTCTAGTTAGTCTTCAGCACCCCCCTTGAAGATTTTGGGCCAGTTTCGATTCGCAGCGGCTTTCCTGGTTTGGAACCCTTCTCATTCGAACAAGGGCTTTCATGATCCCACTTGGACGCCTCGCATGAATACACACGAATCATTTCGTTAAGTCTTTTGAGTTCCATGCTGTGCAGGATTTTTCAAGAGTATATCATCAACGCCTGGTTCCGGGTGTGTGCAACGCTTGGCTAGTCGGGAGCATGCCGAATGAACCACAGATTCTGGGTCCTTGGCTAGTCGGACCCTGCGTGGAGGGCTTTGGATGACCAAAAGGTCCCATCCCCATGTGACGTGATCGCTCAGGGTTTCCCCCAATAGAGCCACTTCATGTTACACGACTGCAGGGTATCCAACCTGTGGCTGTTCTAAACTTTTTCAACCTGGGATGCACTTCATTTGGCTCATGCAACATGAACATCGCCAGTAACATCGCCTGCAGGATCTCACGCGATGCTGGCCGCCAGTGCCCCGCTGGTGGTCCGCAGTGGTGCCAGCACGGTGGTGCTTGGCTGCGAGGAGTGCGATGAGTTGGGCCGGACGTTGCATCAGAAGTTGTGGCCCAGCTGAGGAGGTTGAACCAAGGTTCCGAGACAAGAGACATGAGACATGGAAGATGGGGATATGAGACATGCCTAGGTTATTTTTACTTTTTTAATGCCTGCTAGTGGAAGCCCGTCTTTTTTCTTGTTTGGTTCGCTTTTTTGCGCCCAAAACAGCCACAAGGACGATGGAAGAGCTTGTAACAGGCATGAGAAGGTGAAACTTTTGTGCGACATCCCATGGCTTTCCAGTATATCTAGGTAGTAACAAAGAAGCTACGAACGGGGCTCCTGGCCTTACCAGGAGCGTTCGGACGCCTCGAACGGGGCTCCTGGGCATCGCTACCTTTTGAGCATCTTTGGGCCCTTTTTGAACACTCCCAATCTTCAAAGGATTTGGCAAGAGTCTTCGAGAGGGTCACCATCTGAGCGATTCTTTGACCAGGCGAAGAGCCCCCGGAAAACGCCAGCCGCCAGTGTTGTGCTGAGGTCTGCTCTGCCGGAGGTGGACCGCCTGGTCTTAGTGGAACGGCAGCGGTTGTGGGAGGCGCTGGAAGTGCAGAGCATTGATGTGCTGGTGGTGGATGAGGACTGAGATTTCATGAGGTTTCATCAGGAATCATGTGGCTTCATCAAGAATAATGAGGTAGGAATCATGAGGTTTCATGAGATTTACATAAGATTTCATGAGGTTTCTCAAGTTGGTGCTCTTGGAACGTGGAAAGCTTCACAGATGGAGATGAATCGGGGATGCACCAATGTCCACAGCATTCTAGCGTGAAGAAATGTGAAGAATTACAAGATGATTCAACCTATTTGCCCCACGGCATTCATAATAATAACTCAGCTTTTGCTAGATGCTGGGAGGTGGTGTCTGTTTTTGCACATGAGGACCGTGTAGACGACCTGCTCTTCCTGGAGGGAAAGCATTGGCGTTTCACTGGTGGCTCGGCGGGACTCGAAGAGGAGGATTGACCAAATCACCTGAATACACAGTCTTTGACCTTGACCTTTCACAGTCAAGAAGGAGGAATGCCAAGAGGAGGAGGTTTCACAGTCTTTTGTTTTCTTGACCTTTTTGGGCTTGCTATCCGGTATACGCATTCCTCATTTCAGTTTCGGTAAAGATAACCGCTCGAAAGCCCGAAGTGAGTTTATGCACGTGTTTGCCATTCGTAGCAATTTATGAGGCAGCGCAGGTGTTCCTTCTGCAATACTGCAGATGACCTGCAGCATGTTGATCGATTTTGCTAAGTCTTACAGACTTCTGCCCTTGAAGTCCAAATTCCAGGGCTGTGCTCCGACACTGCGACCGTCCCCCAGGCCCTGCGCTGGCCGGTCTCATGAAAGCCTGGCGGAGCTCCAGCTCGCGCGTGGTGGGGATCCATCTGCCGGCGCCCAGCCTCCCTGCAGGCGCGGGCGTGAAAGCCGGTGAAGTACGGCGGCTCGTGGAACACCGGACCCGGGTCGTTGACCAGTGTAGCTGGACCAGTTTATATTGTCTGTCTACCTGCAGGTGTCTTAGCCTAAGAGATCTAAGAGTCATTACATTGTAGACTCTTGATTAAACCAATTGTTTGAAGTGGAACAGCCTCTTCATATGGGGGGGTTTATGGTCTTCAAGAGTCTACATTAGTGTATACGTGTAGATAGTATCCGCAACATAGGGTTCTGAGCTGATGCTCTGCTCTCACCGATGTCTTTCGGTTTTGACCCCCTTCTATCGCTATGGCTCCAGGCTACACGCTGACCTTCGGCGAGGGCTTCTGGTGGTTTCAGCAGACGAAGGTAGATCGAATCCGGATCCGCCGATCGGGCCGCAGGCGTCGTCACGTGATGAGTGAGGTGAGGGCCGCAAGTCTCGCTTTCAGACGAACATGGACCCTGGTTGGAACTGGCCACTGGCGCAGCGAACGAGTGAACAACGATCCGGCAGCAAACGAGTGCTCTCCGACCAGGTCGGTCAGTACTCATCGGTACAGGGGCGATGTTTCTGGTCACTCATGTGGGACGTTGATCTAAAGGGGCGATGAATGGCTATTCCATCATGAAAGAATATGGATCAACCACACCATGTGTCGCGGAGCGTCACACATGAATCATCATGAATCAATTCTCTCACTGTTGCACTGTTGGGCCTGGACATTGCGTTTGGTACTCACCAGGTTGAAGCTTCCAAGTCCAAAGTTCTAGCTGTATCCTTGTTGATGTTTTCCTTAATCATCCTTAATCGGCGTCAGATGGCTTTTTATTTTTACATGGCTCATCCTTTGGGCGCCTAGGGCAGTCACCTGCACCGCGCCGTCCACTGCGCCAGTGGGACGTGTTGCTTGGCTCATCCCTCGACGGGTTTCCAGGTTCCTTCCTCGACGGCTTCCGCGGACCTCGCGACGAGTCCGAGTCCGGTCCTGGCCCCCTTCGGCGCTACGGCACGCGTGGCCGCGGGGGCCGTGGAGCGAGGCGCCGGGCCGCTCCGGGTGGCGGGTGGGGTCAGGGGGGTCAGGGGTGCGGGAAGGATTTCCAATGATGGGTGGAAGGATGTGGAATGGATCCTCTTACATGTTGGGAAGATGGAAGATCCTTTTTCTGCAAATGCATCCAGAATGGGGTGATCAAGATCGAGGAAGACTGTCTGCCGGCCACGGGGCCATCGGGGATGGCCATGCACAACAGGGGCACAGCTTAGCGCCAGCTTCTTGCGCTTCCTTCGAGAAAGAAGGATACAGTACAGCATAGAGGATGCAGTGGGTTGAACAGGAAACACGTTTGTTGCTATAGTACAGCGAGACAGTCCATCAATGTCCCAGTTACGTGGAACTGGGGCAGACATGGAGAGCTTGGAGAGCTTGGTCGTGCTTTGGTTGAGGCAGTCTTCCCCTCAAAAGAACGAGGCTGCCCGCGACCGCCGGGTTCGACGCCCGCCGTCGGCACGGTGGGGAGCCTCCGTCGTTTCCGCCTGGACCTCCAACCGAGAACGGCTCGCTGCTGGGCCTACGCAGTGGGCACCTGAGCCACCAGGTGGCTTCTTGTGCCGAGCTGGTCGACCAAAGCCTCACCAGGAACAAACATCGGTCAGTCCTCAAGACGTGTCGATATGTGTGGAAGGATCGACACCTGGACCTTAAAGCACACGAGACCCATCAGGACCACTTCATTTGATTTTGTGTAGTTTTGTTGATTTTTGGTCATCCCATGCCAAAGGGGGAGAACTGAAACACATGCTAGTTGGCCCATCATGACTTGTGTCTTGTGTCTTGGGGGGGTACAGAAGTAGGTCTTGAGATGGCCAAAGCACCAGGCCGCCAGGATCCGCCAGGTGTACCTGTGGGTGGTTCTTGGGCGGAGAAAAAAGTTGGACGGCAGAAAAGCATTGAGAGCTCCGAAAGGCCACGACGCTTCAGATTCAGTGGATTTGTCGGACACCCAAGGGGTGGGTCCTTGGAGGTTCTTGGAATCTGACCCCAACAACCAAGAAGCACCACCAACCACCACCCAACCTTGGGGTGGCTTAGCTTCCACTGAAGCTGCCAAGATTTGGGGCATGGTTCTTCTTTGGGTTGAGACGATTTCGGGGCATCTTCGGGCTCACTTCACCCTCTCCCAGGCGACTCACGCCCAGAATCAGTCCTTCCAAGTGGGCGGGGCAGGAGCCTCCAAAGCCAAGAAACATACTCCAAGGATCTCAAGGAACGGGGCATGGTGGTGCGGATGACCCAGGTGGTGCGCACGCGGATGTTGAGAACACTCGAAGCGAGGAGAGACGAGTCCCAAGCCCTCACGTCCAGATCCGCAGGCCTTGAGGACACGCCAGCAGTGCTCTTGGGGCTTATGGCCCGCTACGCGTGCCGAGCTCAGCGCAGTTTCGCACAGCTCGGCTTCAGGTGGACAATTCGACCTGCGGGGTCAGTCAGTCCAGTTTTGAAGGTTTTCCCAGTGTTTGTCCGAGCTTTTGGACACTTCCAGCAGCTTCTGGCGCCACACCAGGTGATGAACGGGTGGCATGGACACCTGGTGTCGCGATCTTGACTCATGTAGACGGGTGATGAAACGAACACTGGAAAAAGAGGTCTTCCACCTGCAGGTTTTGACCTGGCCCTGTAAACCTGGTAAACACCTGCAAGACTTTCTTTAGATGGTTTTGTACAGGTTTTCACCATTCAGACTGCGTTGTCCAGTCTTCCATCATGGATCCCGGTGAACATAGAATGCCAAGAGATGAGAGGAAGTATACTTTCCCAGAAGTCTGTGATGAAGGAAACCTAGAGAGAAAATCTACTTTCCCAGGAATCCGTGATGAAGGATAAGATGAAGGAGAAGCTGAAGGAGAAGGAGAAGAAGAACGAGAAGAGCCTTTTTCGTCCTTTTTGGGTTCTCAGGTGTGTGCTTGAACTTGTGTGTTCTGCGGCTTTCTGGCCCAGAGGACCAAGGAAGGTCAAAAGAAGTGAAGAGAAGCGAAGAAAAGAGCCAGACATAGGTCTTATGTAGACTACTTTCAAATCAAACAACCACTTTCAAATCAACCAACTCTTGGTTTAGTGTCTTTTTGGTTCCTTTTTCTCCCTCCATGGGACAAAAGATGCATTTCTGGCATGTTTGGGCCAAGAAAGGAGAACATAAAGAAAAGGGAAGGGGAAGAGAAGAGAAGGGAAGAAGGGAGGAAGAGAGGAAGAGAGGAAGAGAGGAAGAGAGGAAGCGAGGAAGAGAGGAAGAGAGGAAGAGAGAGAGAGAGAGATTCAAGGCTTTTTGCACAAAGAGTGTGGGACTAGGAAGTGTGGAAACCATGCAAGTAGTGCGTACGGTGTTCACAAACACGGTCATCTCAGCCTAGGCACGCATATCTACGGGTTAAACTGCGTTGGGAATCCGCTGCGGCGGAGAAACTCCGCTTGGCCCCTGAGACCCCTAGCTATGGCGTTCTCTCTCACACAGAGACTTTCTCAACCGCGTATAGGGTTCTTTTTGACCAGCCTTTTACCTTTTCAACACTGGGGTGGGCTTGATCAGTCCAGTCTACAATCTCGCCACATTCGAGTCGACCAACGAATCGAGAGCTGAGAAGGTCCAGCAATGCCCAGCTGGCCCTGCGCTGTGATCCAGGCGACACCGATTGTGCAGAGCTAGGTGCTTTGACCCCCCAAAATCAGCGGCGTGGATCAACCCTAAAACCCGAAACATCCCTCAACCCTAAACATCTTAATCATAACAAGAAGGTGATTTGGATGTCGGGGGTTCTGGGGTTCTTCGTTGTGTTGCTGGCTGCCAAAGGGCATGTTTTTTCATGGTTTTTCGCCGCGGTTCAGCCGCGCCGTGTATGACGAAGTACAGAGACCGAACCCAAGAACCCACCTGACGTTTTCATGCTCGGTACCCGGTACCCTCAAAGCCTGAAAGCACACCGACCCAGCTGGACCCAGCTGGACCTGGCAAACTCACTTGCTCCAAAGCAGCTTCGAACACCAATGTGCAAGAGAGTGCAAGAGGGATCATTCCCAGTTTCTTCCAAGTGACCTCTTTGGAGTCCCTAAGTGACCTATGCCTATTACAGGCCTAAGTGACCTCACACCAGGGAATCCAAGGGTCACTTGGAAGAACTAGGTCCACTCAGAAAAGTAGACTTGGTATGTCGAGTTCGCCCACTTGTCACCAAGGCTGTTAGAACCCCCCAGGCAGTCTTTCTTCCCAAAGCAGCCAATTTGTTCCTTTGTTGGGAAGAGAGCTTAGCAAACCCACCTGAGGAAAGGGGGGCCAGGACAGCACTGTTGGACCAACTCTGTGGAATCGACAATAACCGTGGGAACAAACAGCGGAACAGCGATGGAGCCAGAGCTGACGAGGATCCCCTCGTGTTGACGAAAGAACTCCTAGCACCACCTAATGATGCGGCCACACATGAGCTACCACAGGCAAACCCCTTCGCCCCCCCCAAAAGAACCAAACCCACGAGCCAACAGTCCCGACCAGATGCTGATGCTCCACCTTTGGTATCCTTTGGTCCGTTGGTTTTCCACTCGACCGTCACACGACGCTCCGTCGGTCACACGACCGTCCCGACCGCAGGCGACCGCGAAAGACGCGCGGAGACCGCGCGGCTCGTCACGTCGCGCTTGGACGTGGCGCAGCAGGCGTTGCGGAGCCGGCAGCCGGTGCCTGGGGCAAAGTGGGGGGAAGGTGCTGGGGAGGTGCTGCGAGGGTCTGGGGGGGTGGGTCGAGATGGATCCGGTTCTGATCTTTGATCGTGTGGTCGAAAAATGGAGGAGAGAGACTCCAGGAAAAAGCGGGAGAAAGAGCCAACAAAACTGATTATATTGAGTGTAGTATTGAGAGTTCAGGTGTTCTTTTCATTTGGTTTATGGATTCTTGGGGCTGCTAGAGACCTTGCTGTTCATGAGCGGATTCTTGGTCCGTGGGCACCATTTTCTCGCCGAAACGGCATGGCTCATGTACTGAGGTCGCTGAAAAGAAATACCAGGACCCGACTTCACAGGTCACCACCTGCGACTTTCAAGTACAAAAGCCTCCAAAGGAGACCTGTTGGAGGGTGCTGGTACATGTGTGGTGACAAGAACCTGTCGCAAGAACTAACTGTTCTTCATCCAGTCAGAGCCACACGTGAGGATGAGGCAACTTGTTCCCTCGACTGGAGGGTAGGGGTGATCAGCCTTGTCCACTCCGTTGATGTCGACTTGTTGACCACTCCGACATGGAACTGCTGGAGAAGTCTCCATCTCCATGTCGAAGGAAGGGGAAGCTTCTAGAACCGACTTTTCCCAGACAACCGTGAAGATTCTTTTTAGTTAGGTCGCCAATGGCCGATCGTTTCACGACGTGCATTGGCCGCATGGCTTATGCTAGAGACATTCACGGTCCCCATGTAGGACGCAGGACGGGACCTTCAAAGCGACCGGCTGAGATCGTGGCGGGTCGGTCAGTCCCTCGTCCCCCGATCTCAGCCGGTCACTTATTGGACACTCCGAGGTCACGAAGGTCCTGGACGGTCCTGGAGGATGACTCTTGAGATTCGTCTCCCTGGGTGTTTGAGGGAGACGCCGAATTGCCCCATGTTCGAGATACTTCTATATAGGGGATGATCTTCCATACGCATTTCTTGAGTTGGCTCTAGTCTCATTTAGGACATTGCTTCAGGCATTGTTTGAACATATGTGCCTTCAAACTGAGGGAACAACTCACCATTGTTCTTTCATCTCTTGCCACCTTCAGGTGGTTCGACAGTCACCCGCGGGATAGCCTCGCTTCTGAGGATGGTGAGCTTCTGATCCAGGAGTGGACTCAGTGGCTGACTGGGTGGCTGGCAGCCATTTAATTTTTGTTGTCACAGAAGGAAGAATCGTTGAGAACCACATTTAGATGGGAAGTGAGATTTTGTACATCTGGTTGCGAATGGGGAAAGCTTTTAACACAATAAAATTCACTTGCCTTCTTCTCTCTTTATACCTGTCGGTTTCAGTGGAGACCAGCTTTAGACTACCATGTTTCAGTTCCATGTTCGTTTGAGGGAGGGTACGGGGACTTGTTTGGTACAGTGAACTCATCTACGATTTGGAACATGGATCAACTTGGATCCCTTTATGTCTCTTCAGTGTAGTGTGTTCTTTTTCCTAGTGCCAGGGCTGCTTCAGTTTGAGAGTTCAACGAGTTCCCTGAGCATCGCGAAGTGCATGCGTGACCGGATTGTGCTCAGGGCGAGCTGACCCCCCTGAATTCAACGAGGACGGAGATGCTCCTGCCTTTCCAACAGAGGTACTCCAGTAGGGTCCTACTGAATCAGGTCACTTAACCATATATAACCTCTCTGGGTTGCTCTGAAGGGTTCTGGAATTTACTGGCATTGGCGCAGGCTGCAGCCAGAGAGCTTGTGCAGACCATCGCGAAGGTCCACATGCCGCATTCCTGCGCCTGGTCAAGGATTTCTTTCGTTCTGCGGGGTGATGAAGTGCTTGGCCGGGTCTGGGCCGGGGGTGCAGGAACAGTTGGTGGGTATAAGTCAAAGCTCGGAGTTGGAGCTGGGATCATCAGATCTGCAAAGCAGTTATTGCCTTCTCATGAGGGGTCGAGACGAGAAATTCTTTTGACCCAGACGCGACCCAGACGACCCTCCTCAGTGGTCCCCGAATTCTCAGCTCTCAAATCCCGTTGCGACATGAGGGACCGGGAAACGGCCTGTGAACGGAGCCTTTTCGGGGAGGAATCGGTCGGCCTTTTGGGCAGCAGACAGACTGTCGGACACAACAGTTCGAGAAGGAGCACCGAGAAGGAGCATCGTTTGTTGAACAGATGTGACGTCTAGCAGAGTCTAACAGGTCCTGTCACGTTGGTCTTCAGGTTCGAAGTGTTCCCGCGAGGGCGATGTTCATCAGAAGTCCAGTTCAGTTTTTGGTTGCCCCAAGCAACCTTGATTGGCGCAGCTGAACACTTACAGCTGGAACAACAAACCAACCCAGAAGGTCGCTCAGTGCTTGAAGAAAATGCTTGGGTTTTCGCAGATGTTCACGTCCATCTCAGGCTCTGTGCCTCTGCGGGTGGTCCCAGTAAAGGGAAGCTCCTTGGTGCGGAAGGGATGGACGTGCCAGGGCGCTATTCGGTGTGTGTTGGGGTTGGCGTCTCACCCACCTGGAATCATGGATGATCATGAACGGATGGGACCATCGGTTTGTAGTGGAAACATGTGGAAAACATTATTTTTTGGTGCAGGGGCCATGCCATCCAAATAACATCTAATAACCATGACCCCCTCCTGAGAAGGTATTTTGACCCTCCTGGCACCGACCCCAGTCCCACCTTCTCAGAAGGTACTTGGAGGCCTAGGGTGATGAATCCAGGAAGTGTAGGAGTCTCACTTACCCCCTGCCAGGCACGCAACTCACCATCCCCACCAGGGGCGTAACTCACCCACCCCACCGAGTCTTGTGCTTGACTGTGCTGTTTTTTTTGAATCATAAGGATTATGATATTATATAATAGATATTAACATATAATATATAATTACAGTAAGTGACACTAAACCATATATATATATCTATGGGTTCAAGGTTGTGAAGCATTGTTTTGGCTTGGGGTGATCATTGTTTTCCCAATGGGTTCATCCCCCTTCTGGAGCATATGTTGGATTTGTTCTCCAGTTCCGAATCAGCAAATCCAAGTAAACCCTTAGCAGGGGAAAGAAGGACAGACAAGTTTGAAGATTGAGGGGAGTTTGTTTTGGGCACCAACCATGTACATTGCACATCATACCTGGCAGGTTCCCATGCTTCCCAGGGAAAGAAGGCATCACCTGGAAGTTCAGGCCAAGACGACACGAATTCGCATGACCTTAGCTAGAATGTCCCTTTCTTTTTCTCGAGAAGGGCCTTCCTGGAAAACATCGAGACGAGCCCAACATCAGCCCTGTCTTCGCCGTACGCCACAGACTCTGCCTGGCTTCGAGCCGATTCGAACACGACCAACCCGAGAGACGAAAGGCCGAAACCGACGCGGCACCAGGACACGAAGGATCGGTACCTTTGATCGGCTTTGGCACGCACGAGCTGCGAGCGCCTGGCCCTTGGCACGCTCGTGGGGCGGATGTGGTGCACCCGGACAGGGCTGGGAGAGCGCTCGTGACCTGGGGCGCCCCACGGGGACGGACGGGGACATTGCCTTAGACCTCCTCATGATCTCATGGCCCGTGGCCCCGCGCGAGTGCGTGGCTCGCGGCTTCGCGTGTTGGGCCCAGGTTGGAGTGCTATTCAGCGGTGCGCTCGGCCTTGGAGGCTGGACGCCTCTTGAAGAAAGTCCACGTAGTTCAAACCTGGTGTGGGTGGGTAGACCCAAGATGACCCAAGCAGGTCGAACTAGAAGAACCCTACAAGAACTTGCATGATTTAGCAATCCTTGACACATCCGGAATGATTTTCCAATACTTACCAAGGAGATTTGTGGCAGGTGTGGGACGGTCAATTATCACAATGTGCTAAGTTTAGATAAAAAGGATTACATTGCTTTCCGGCCTAAGACCGCGCACACCATCCCAGGTCAGATTGTGTATAAGGTTTCTAGGGTGACAGAGTTGTGATGAGTTGGAACTTCAAGAAGCGGAACTTTCATTTGGGCAGTGCATTAATTCATACCTACTTCATAAAATATCATAAAATATGTCATTGCATATTCCCAAGATACTTCATGAATCCCTGAAGCCACTGTCTTCACTTGTGCGGACCTGATTGCTTGATCATCAGTGCGAGATCCACCTCCAAATGCTTTCTGAGATGTATAAAAGAACAGCTCTACCGCGCTTGGTTTGAACCAGATGCTGCTCGAGAGAGGCTGGCGTGCGGCACATAGACACTGCGGGGAAGCTCAGTTTCAACTTATTATCATCCTCCAGCATGTCCTGGTTGACGGCGTTGCGAAACTCATCGGCTGGAATATGCTTCTGCCTTGAACCGCGTTTTGGGATTCAGTTTGGCTGCAAGACTGGCTCTTGCTCCCATGTATACCTTTTGCAAGACTAACATGGACTCATTCTCGAAAGGCCCCTTGGAAGATTGCTTTCCTCTACAAAGATCTACAAACAACTTTTCAGAGTCTAGACTAATCATTTAATCCTGTCCACCTATTAAACAACCCCCCCCTAATAAGAGAAATTCGGTCGCATTTTTAGAGCCGTGCTCCGCTGACGAGCGCTACCCGTCGGGTCCGTCTCCGAGGCGGAGAATTATGGGAACGCCGAGGACCTTGCCCGGGCCATGCGCGACAGTGAGGCGCTCGAGAGATGCTAGAGATGCGGTTGGAAGAGGTGGAACATAGGGCGAAGAAAACAAACAAATACAATCAAAGGATGATTCTGAGATTCTGAGACCAATTTGCTTCGTGTGTTGCCTGGTTGATCAACGCATCTTCCTTGTTGTTGATGTTTCTTCCGATGCTTCTGGGGATTTCCTTGCTAACTTCCAGCTGGTGTTTTGGGTTCAGATGAGGGACCCTCAATCGTTGAGGTTGTTCTGGTTTTATGCTTATAGGGCTTAGGATTGAAGATGTGAGTTGCCATGAGACGAACCGATCCTTGATGCTGTCGATGGTGTCCCCATGTTCACGTCAATTGATTTGTTCAAGTTCACTCTGTTTCTTCTTCCTGTTTCCATTGATGTCGTTGATTGGAAGAACTTCACGCTGTCGTCAGCTGCCCCCGTCTTTACAACAGGTTTTGCGGCTCAATCCTTTGCCGCCTTTGCCCTGTGAAACCCTGTTTGCAGGTTACCCCTTCACCGGACTCACCCATGAGGTCGTTTTACGTACAGGTGGCTAAGTCCCGGCTAAACTCAAAAACAATTCGCTGAGAGGGGCCAGAGCATTGAGGCAATCTCCCCAAAACTGAAAGAACACGCATCAGCCGGGACAGCCCAAGACAGAGCCTTTGCTTGAAAGACCGTCCGTGCAGCTTTTGAGGGCATTTATTGTCATTTTCATACCACTTTAAAATGCACTTCAAAAGTCCATCCAGGCGGTGGACTGGCCGTGCGGCAGGGTATGTTGTGGTCGCTTTCATGTTGTGCTCGCCAGTGATTTAAAGATGGCTTTTGTCTCAACCACCTTCGGTAGGTCGTTGGAGAAGAGTTTCCGGTGTTCGAACGGTAAGAACATCTTGAAGGGGTGGACCGAGGAAATCACCAAAGCATCTAGCTGCAAAAATCACTGTGCAAAAGCATATACACACAATATCTTCGGCATTTTAATCTACAGCGCCATGTCTCACATTTTGGTTATGACTTGGTTTGCCTTCTTTCCTCTTTTGAGCACATGACATTTGGAAGAAGATCTCGAGAGGCATTCGTGTGCTGTAACTTAACTGGAAGCGAAGTAGCTGCCCACGGATGGGAGCACCCTAAACCCTAAAACCCAGCGAATCCTTACACTCACCGTATGAACACCAGATGCGTGTCCACCCCGTCTTATTATGAGCCAATCCTTAAAATCCAATGCCAAACGCAAAAAAACAACAATCGTCCACCTCATCAACTAAACCTGAAAAACGCGCCGCGAGTTTCTAGGACGAAGAAATCACCAGAACCAACATGAGGAAAACACACCAGGAAGCAAGGAACATGCGCTGAACATTGAACAGCAACAGTAAAACAATAAGCACGCACATGAGACTAACATAGTGAAGAAACATGAAGCAAACAATAAAACAGATAGGGGTGAAAGTTGGGTACGCATGCAAGACATTTCCAACTGGTTATGTTTGAAAGCTAATCCTCTTCCACTGCTTTTGTGGAAGAGGGCCTGGGTTGGACTCTTATACTAAACTCTGTGATTTCCCATTTCAAGGCATCAAGACACTCCCCACTGGTGGCGAACCGGCAGTCCCATTGGTTTCCATGCGCCAGCGGCCAGTTTTCCGGGCACAGCGAGCTCCCCCGCACAGGGCGACCGGACAGCTTTCGCTCGAGGTGCCCCGCGAAGAGATCTTCGTGGCCACCAAACTTTCATCAACTGGACTGGACCAGGCGCGGACCACTGCGGCCCACAAGATGCGGAGGTTTTCTTGATATTTCTTTGAGAGGGTTGAGAGACCTTATTGTCGGGAGCGGGCGTTTTTGGGGCTGGATTCAAGCTCTCTTGGTATTTTCAGAACTCTCAAAATTCTAGACATTCCCAGAGGAGTTGTGCACACCTCTGTACTATTTTCATGGTTCACGATGACATTGGCTCGCCATCGTTTCTGCTCTCGTTGGGCAGCCTCCTCCTCTGACCCGCGAGGCCTCCTCCTACCGAGCTCTGGCCTCCGAGTTGCAGCGCCTCGGAGGGGCTGCGGACTTGTGTGCCTCGGAAAGAGCGGACAAAAGGCATCGGAATCGTTGGAGTGGAACAAGATGCTCAGCAGAACCCTTGAGGTGCCAACACCCCTCGAAACACACCGGTGTTTTCTGCACAGATGTGCCCAGAAACATCCAGAAACCATCAGAAGGTTCAACAGCTGTACTCGGGTTACAACAGTTTGTTGCCTGGATTGTCCTGGAAGGAAAGGAAGGCACCCCTTGATTGTAGGTGAAGTCCAATGGTCATCAATCCGCAGCGTTCCGGTCGAAGCTCGCTGTTTTTCTTGTTCCGGTGGAGTTTGCACATGTGAAGACACTGTTCCTGGAATCCAGATGTTCTGGTTCCACTCTGCATGTCTCATGTTTGATCGGGACCACTGGATGGTGGGCCATGCTCCAGGTTACCTGCACTTCCCCAGCGAGAAGAACCTACCTGCCTGGCGCGCCTTAGAACAGCTACAGCAGGAAGGCAGGGAATGGGAGGTCAATTGGGGGGGGTCGCACCATGCGAAAGGAAGATCAGGGAATGGGATTCCCAAATCTCTGCTGGTGGAGAGTCAGCCACCCTTGATTCCTTACGAGTCGTACCGGTCAATTCAGGGGCATTTGGTTGAGAGCTGTAAGATTCCTGACGTTCTCAAGCACCTTCTGAGATGCGAGCTGTGTTTTTTTTTTAATCTTTAGATGCTGTGAAGATGGGTCATTTTTTGCGCCACCACATTCTAAAGCCTGAACTCCGAACATCTCTCAAGATCCAACTCAACTCAACAGGTCGAGTGAGTAGAACGATTCTAGTGAGTCGCGACTCCAGTCGATCCGGATCGAAACAACCACCCAGCACCTGGTGAACTGATCCCATTTTGGTTCCACCACTTCTCCACGCGCCATTAGGGCCTCACCACATCCAGATTGTTTTCAAGAATTGAGCGTTGGCCACTTGGGGCCACAGAGGAAAACCTGGAACCTTTCCCAGCTCAGGCTCCCATCTTTGACCGATCCGTTGGGTGGTTGAACAGTTTTCAATGCACATATTCATACATATTCCAGAATACCAGGGTCATCCAATGGGTGTCCAATAGACTACCCTACCTTACTTACAGGCCTCCATTGGGCACCCATTGGAAGTGCTAGGTATGGATGGTTTGGGAAAGGTGCCTGGGGCCAAGAGGTCATCGCCAGCGCCAGGCCATATTCGTCGTGTCTGGGGTAGGCAGCAGACCTGGTTGAACACCGCCCGTCAGGCCGCTGTCGACAGCTGGGCCTCAGCAACTTTGGCCGTGCAGCTGCTCGGCCGAGGGGGTCAGCAGGTGGTGTGGGGCGTGGGGCTCGGACAGCCGGTTTGAGGGTATAGATCTCCCCACATGCGAATGTGTTGTTTTCCATGTGTTTTGCCGTGCCCTCAAGGACGGGGACAAGCAATCAAGCAAGCAATCAATCCTTCGATCGATCAATCAATCAAGCATCTATCAATCAATCAAGCAATCAATCAATCCTTCGATCGATCAATCAAGCAAGCAATCAATCCATCGATCGATCGATCAATCAAGCAATCAATCCATCGATCGATCGATCAATCAAGCAATCAATCAATCCTTCGATCGATCAATCAATCAAGCAATCAATCAATCAATCAATCAATCAATCAATCCTTCGATCGATCAATCAATCAAGCAAGCAATCAAGCAATCAATCAATCAATCCATCCATCGATCGATCGATCAATCAAGCAATCAATCAATCAATCCATCGATCGATCGATCGATCAATCAAGCAGTCAATAAATCCATCGATCGATCAATCAAGCAATCAATCAATCAATCCATCGATCGATCAATCAATCAATCAAGCAAGCAATCAATCCATCGATCGATCGATCAATCAATCAAGCAAGCAATCAATCAATCCTTTGATCGATCAATCAATCAAGCAATCAATCAATCCATCGATCGATCAATCAAGCAATCAATCAATCAATCCATCGATCGATCAATCAATCAATCAAGCAAGCAAGCAATCAATCAATCCATCGATCGATCGATCAATCAAGCAAGCAATCAATCAAGCAAGCAAGCAATCAATCCATCGATCGATCGATCGATCAATCAATCAAGCAAGCAATCAATCCATCGATC